AAAGTCCTTTCCAAATCAGGCTTTTTAACCCCAGATTAAAATAGTCAAAAAAATTAAAAAAGTTAAAAAGTCTGCCCACTTTTCAAATTTAGATACACTTTTCTATTAGACATTTTAGCAAAAGGACGGACTTCTCTCTTGTCCTTAATTGGATTAGAGAAGTGTTGTTCAATTCATTTGGTTTATTTTTAGAATTTTTTTTAAATAATTTGAACTGTTTATATTTTAGGATTCGTTGAGTATATCATCTTTGCAAAAAATCAACTCAATTAGATAATGGAAATCAATTAATTTTTTTTCATAAATAATTTATACATAAATTCGGACAAAATTCCCAAACATAGGCAAAATTTGCTAGAAATGCATACTTTCAAGCTTAATAATGATGTTATAAAGGGAAAAAAATTGAGAAAATTGCACTAGAGTGAGACCAATGTTTGTCTAAAGTTGAGGGGCCAATCACGGAGCATGTTTTAACTATTTGAGTAATTTATTTTGTTGGAATTTATGTATAAAAAAAATTAATTAATTTTTTGTTATTTAATTGACTTGATTTTTTGTAAATATGGTGTATTCAATGAATCCTGAAATATGAATAATTTAAATCATTAAAAAAAATCTAAAAGTAAGTTAAATGAATTGAACACACTTCTTCAATTTGATTAAGGACAAAGAGAGAAGCCCTGGCCTTTTGCTAAAATGTCTAACAGAATAGTGTATTTGAGTTAAGAAAATTTGCTAGAAATTCGTACTTTCAAACTTAATAGAGATGTTATAAAGCGAAAAAAAAAATTGAGAAAATTGCACTATAGTGAGGCCAATGTTTGTCTCAAGTTGATTGGAATTTATTTTGTTGGAATTTATGTATAAATTATTTATGAAAAAATATTAAATTGATTGGATAATTATAGTTATATTTATTTTTAAAAAATAGTCTATTACATTTTCTACACTTAAATTATCATTAAATTATCTATTTAGTCTCTAAATTATTGATTGAATATATTTAGTTCCTAAAGTATATAAATCAAAATCTATTTAGTCTTTGAACTATCAATCGTGTCTACTATAGCTCTAAAATATATAAATCAAAATCTATTTAGTCTCTAAAAGAATTACAAAAACAAAATATATGCTCACACGTATTATAAAATAATAAAAGATCCTCCCCAATTAAGATTTTATTAAAGAAAAAAATTTTAAATTTTTATTTTTTCTTTAATAGGTAATTTATTTCGTTGTGTGTTTAAATTAATATTAGAGTCTAATTTTTCAATCTTGTCAATAAATTATGAATATTAGATATACTGAAGAAGTAGAATTAAATAATTTAAATAATAACACTTCTCTACAAATAGTAACAAAATAAAATAATACATTAATTAAGTAATAAAAAGAACTTATAAAAAACTTAAAAACAATCAATTAGAAATTATATAGAAATATGACGTATAGTACTAGACAAAAGTAAGCACATATCCATTTTAGAAAATAGGCAATAAACTACTATAGATAATTACCCTTATTCTTTTAAAAGAAATTCAATATATGGATTGAGGCCCACTTTTCAAAGATAGAATAAAAATTTTAAATTTTTTGAATTTTTTTTAATTAGATAGGGTCTTTTATTAATTTATAATATTTATGAGTTTATATTTTATTTTTGTAATCCTTTTAGGGACTAAATAGATTTAATAGATAGTTTAGGGGCTGAATAGATTTTGATTTATATGGTTTAGGGACCTAGTAGACACAATCAATAGTTCAATAATTAAACAGATAATTTGACGATAGTTTAAAGATATAAAGTGTAATAAACCTTTAAGAAAATGAATGATATATTTTTAAAATTATATCTATCATTTATTTTTTCAAAAATAAATATAATAAAATTATATAATTATAATTATCGAATCAATTTGAAATTTTTTTCCTTAATATACTGGGTTGGTTTGGAAAGTGGGTTGACTTTTTGGCTTTTTAACTTTTTTGACTATTTTAGTCTGGGCTAAAAAGCTTGGTTTAGGAAGGACTTTTTGACTTTTTTGACTTTTTTTGTGAGACAATAGTGTAATGATTATGGGTTGAATGTGATGTTTTGTTTGTTATGCCTAAAATAGTCTATTTTATTTTTTATGGTTAAAATAGTCCAAACCTATCCAAACCCACTTGCCAAACCATGCAAGTTGGGGCTTATAAAATGAATGATTTAACTTGGGAAAATTTTACCATGCACACCTCATATCAAATACACCCCTAAATTATGTCGTTTTCTTCATTAGTTACAATCAATTTTCTTTTTTAGTTATAATGTCATTTTCTTCGTTAGTTATAATCAATTTTCTTTTTTAGTTATTATCTTATTTTATTTTGATTTATAAGATTTTTAATTATATCTCATGTGTTATTTGATTATGATTTTTTTTTTAATTATAACTCAAAAAATATAAAATTATAATTTTCTTTAATTATGAAATACATACGTACAAAACCTTTGAGGGTATAGGCCATATTTGGTAGAGTTGTGGGAAAGTGCTTATAACTTATGCCTAAACAGCTTATAACTTATAATTATGAACATAAGTTGATTTCTGACTTATAAATTAAGCATCTCCTGCCCCACTCAAAAAATAAGCTGATTTTTAACTTTCAAAAAACTATAAACTAAACTAAACACATCAAAATAACTTAAATTAAACTGAAAATTAAAATAAACAATTTTTAAACGGCACTAAACAGGGCCATACTATTTCCCTCTAACCTAAAAACTCCACCGACATTAACAGTTGTCTCAACTTCCCATGCACATTAAAATAATGGAAAAAGATAAAAAGATTCCGCACTGCCATATAAAAGGACTAAAAACAACCAAACATTATTATTTCAAAAGATTAGTACAATATTAATTAAAATGACTAAGCGTTGCCAACCTCTTTTTCGTTGCCAATTAATATATATTATCTATACCCATTCATACAGTCATGTCTATTTATAATAGTATTCATATTCATTGACACACACAAATCTATCTGTTGAGACTTTTTTCACAGAGAAACAGGAAAAATGTAAGATACAAAAAGTAAGCTGCAGGAGGGAAGTGCAGTGGAAAGCCTGACCACCACCACCTACTGTGTAACGGGAGCTACAGGATACATAGGGTCATGGCTGGTCAAATCTCTCCTTCAAAGAGGCTACAGGGTTCACGCCACGGTCCGCAATCAAGGTCGATTTAACTTATCTCTCTCACTCTATTTCATATATTTTTAATTTTCAATTTTGATGACATAACAATATAAACATAATATGCGATAGAGATTACAAACGATCTATGTTCTTTTTTTTTTTTTTGAAGTGGAACTAATTGAATTGAAAAATAATTAGAAGTATGCAACATATAAGAGTTTTAGAGATCAAATATTTTGATTTAAAATATTTTGGTTTTAAAAGTGAAAATTTTGCTGTAAAAGACATTATTGTGAGGATAGTCGCTAAAAAGTCATCTCGAAAAATAAAAAATAAGGCTTTTTAGTAACAAAATTTTGAAAATGTCACTAATTAAATAGACTTTTAGGACAAAATAATAGTCTTAAAATGGTTTATTTTTGAGAAAATTAGTCTAAGGTCCCTCTCCCAATTTTAGTAATGGAAGAGATCTACAATATTATATTATGATGTTTATGGTCCCTCAACCCCACACCACATGTATTACAGAGAAATTTGGTATAAGTTTGAAACCTTCACCTCTCTCTCTCTCTCTCTTTTCTCTCTCAGATTTACGCCTCAACTCTTCTCTTTCCTCACTGCTCTGCTCTCTCTTTCGTCAATCTCACTCGATCTAGCTCGTCCTCTCTTCTGACCAGTTCGCTTTCCCCACTCTTTATCAGAAGATATCGGGATTGAAGTGTTTAAGTTCCCCTCTCTTTATCAGAAGATATCAGGATTGAAGTGTCCAGGGATAGAGTTACTTTGCTGAGCCTGCTGCAAATGCAATGTCAGTGCATAATTGTTCACCTGAAACCATATACCGCGAAAGCAGGAGAACTGTTAGCCCATAAATGTGTTTCCAAAAAAAAATTTGCGAACTAACTTAAGTTTGTAACAAACATGCAGGGCCATTGCCATGCTACAGATGCTCTTTACCACAACGAATACAAATACTGTTACATATAGAAAAGAGATTGTACATTATTATTATTTATTTATTCTTTTAACCACTTTTTTTTGTTTTGATAAATAAATTATTCTTTTAACGTCTCTGGAAAACATACTTACATGAATCATATCTTTTCACAGTTTGGATACAAGTCCAACTGAATACCATGTGATGATTGGAGTTTTGCTTACTTTTGGGTTTTCTGAACTCGTTTTTATACAGTTTAGCTATGTTTGCTTTCTCAGAAAATGAGTTTAATTTGATGTGGTCCAGCCCGCCCGGAATATTTTTAATTATATCTCATGTGTTATTTGATTATGATTTTTTTTTTTAATTATAACTCAAAAAATATAAAATTATAATTTTCTTTAATTATAAAATACATACGTACAAAACCTTTGAGGGTATAGGCCCTATTTGGTAGAGCTGTGGGAAAGTGCTTATAACTTATGTCTAAACAGCTTATAACTTATAACTATGAACATAAGCTGATTTCTGACTTATAAATTAAGCATCTCCTACCCCACTCAAAGAATAAGCTGATTTTTGACTTTCAAAAAACTATAAACTAAACCAAACACATCAAAATAACTTAAATTAAACTGAAAATTAAAATAAACAATTTTTAAACGGCACTAAACAGGGCCATACTATTTCCCTCTAACCTAAAAACTCCACCGACATTAACAGTTGTCTCAACTTCCCATGCACATTAAAATAATGGAAAAAGATAAAAAGATTCCGCACTGCCATATAAAAGGACTAAAAACAACCAAACATTATTATTTCAAAAGATTAGTACAATATTAATTAAAATGACTAAGCGTTGCCAACCTCTTTTTCATTGCCAATTAATATATATTATCTATACCCATTCATACACTCATGTCTATTTATAATAGTATTCATATTCATTGACACACACAAATCTATCTGTTGAGACTTTTTTCACAGAGAAACAGGAAAAATGGAAGATACAAAAAGTAAGCTGCAGGAGGGAAGTGCAGTGGAAAGCCTGACCACCACCACCTACTGTGTAACGGGAGCTACAGGATACATAGGGTCATGGCTGGTCAAATCTCTCCTTCAAAGAGGCTACAGGGTTCACGCCACGGTCCGCAATCAAGGTCGATTTAACTTATCTCTCTCACTCTATTTCATATATTTTTAATTTTCAATTTTGATGACATAACAATATAAACATAATATGCGATAGAGATTACAAACGATCTATGTTCTTTTTTTTTTTTTTGAAGTGGAACTAATTGAATTGAAAAATAATTAGAAGTATGCAACATATAAGAGTTTTAGAGATCAAATATTTTGATTTAAAATATTTTGGTTTTAAAAGTGAAAATTTTGTTGTAAAAAACATTAAGGATCAATTTTTATTATTGTGAGGATAGTCGCTAAAAAGTCTTCTCGAAAAATAAAAAATAAGGCTTTTTAGTAACAAAATTTTGAAAATGTCACTAATAAATAGACTTTTAGGACAAAATATTTTTGAGAAAATTAGTCTAAGGTCCCTCTCCCAATTTTAGTAATGGAAGAGATCTACAATATTATTTTATGATGTTTATGGTCCCTCAATCCCACACCACATGTATTACAGAGAAATTTGGTATAAGTTTGAAACCTTCACCCCTCTCTCTCTCTCTCTCTCTTTTCTCTCTCAGATTTACGCCTCAACTCTTCTCTTTCTTCTCTGCTCTGCTCTCTCTTTCGTGTTCCCCTCTCTTTATCAGAAGATATCGGGATTGAAGTGTTTAAGTTCCCCTCTCTTTATCAGAAGATATCGGGATTGAAGTGTTTAAGTTCCCCTCTCTTTATCAGAAGATATCGGGATTGAAGTGTTTAAGTTCCCCTCTCTTTATCAGAAGATATCGGGATTGAAGTGTCCAGGGATAGAGTTACTTTGCTGAGCCTACTGCAAATGCAATGTCAGTGCATAATTGTTCACCTGAAACCATATATCGCGAAAGCAGGAGAACTGTTAGCCCATAAATGTGTTTCCAAAAAAAAATTTGCAAACTAACTTAAGTCTGTAACAAAAATGCAGGGCCATTGCCATGCTACAGATGCTCTTTACCACAACGAATACAAATACTCTTACATATAGAAAAGAGATTGTACATTATTATTATTTATTTATTCTTTTAACCACTTTTTTTTTGTTTTGATAAATAAATTATTCTTTTAACGTCTCTGGAAAACATACTTACATGAATCATATCTTTTCACAGTTTGGATACAAGTCCAACTGAATACCATGTGATGATTGGAGTTTTGCTTACTTTTGGGTTTTCTGAACTCGTTTTTATACAGTTTAGCTATGTTTGCTTTCTCAGAAAATGAGTTTAATTTGATGTGGTCCAGCCCGCCCGGAATTTCTTTGTTGTGATGATTGGAGTTTTGCTTACTTTTGGGTTTTCTGAACTGGTTTTTATACAGTTTAGCTCTGTTTGTTTTCTCGGAAAATGAATTTGATGTGGTCCCGCTTGGAATTTCTTATCTAAAGTTTGGTTAGGAGATTAGGATGAAAATGATAGAAAAGGAAATGGAATATATATATACACACACACATAGATATAATGAATTCAGTCCAAACCAGAGATGGACCAACCCAATTTTCTCTGCAGAGCACTAGTTTAACCTAGATAATTTCTCTGGACCAACCCAATTTTCTTTGAAGCAGAGCACTAGTTCAACCTAGAGAGAGAAGGTGGAGAGTTCAGAGAAATTTCCTTTATCCCATGTAAGCTCAATCTCGTTGTTTATGATTTCTATGAGTATTTGAGAATCCAATAAGATTTGAGCTTGAACAGCTTCTTTATATTTGAATCAAAGGAAATTTTTCTTTGGTTTGCTCTAGAGAAAATTCAGTCCAAACCAGAGATGGACCAACCCAATTTTCTCTGAAATAGAGCACTAGAAACCAGAGAATTTCTCTGGACCAACTCAAAGAATTTCTCTGGACCAATCTAATTTTCTCTGTAGAGCACTAGTTCAACCCAAAGAATTTCCCTGGACCAACCCAATTTTCTCTGAAGCAGAGCATTAGTTCAACCTAGAGAAATTCAGTCCAAATCAAAGAATTTCTCTGGACCAACCCGATTTTCTCTGAAATAGAGCACTAGTCCTTATTGTTGTCCAGAGAAATTTGGAGTTGTCTCTGTGATGTGTCCAGAGAAATTTGGAATTTTCTCTGTGATTTGTCCAGAGAAATTCTCTGGATCGAATTTTCTCTGGATTGATGTTGAGGGACCTTAGACATCATGAAAATATTAAGTGTCCTTTATGCTATAGAATCTTAATACCAGGGACCTTAAAAAAAATTCTCCTTTATTTTTTTAGACAAAAAAATTGGTCCCAAACAGATAATAATTCATCACTAATGTCCAATTTTTGTTGCTAAAAATATAACAACAACATTTTTTGCAACAAAAATATTTGATCTCTAAAAAATAATTTTGTCCCTAACTTTTGATATCTAAAATCTTAATTTTTTGTAGTGGCTAGTGTTAAAAAAAAAAAATTGATTAAAAAAAATTAATAACTTAAAGTGGTGAATTATTTAAAAATAATATATGATTGCTTTCCAAATGCATAGATTATTTATAAAATATTAATGACAATATCAATTATGAACGAAATCTTTTAAAGTTGAAATTGAGCGGATGAACATTTGGTTAACTATATCATAAAAAAGATTGAATAAATTACTCATTTTAGCCGGTGAAAAGAATATGGTAGATAAATTAGATTATGCAAGTTCAATTAGTAATTTTGTTCTTAAAAATGTAAGAACAGTAATGTTTAAGGGATAGTTTGCTGCAATTGATTCAATTTTTATTTAGTATTATAATTTTAAATTTTGTACCTTTTTTTTCCTTATAGTAAATTGGTTTTTACTAAATTACAAAATAAAAAGACCGTTTAAAAATATATGTATATATAGACAGAGGAATCCATTTAAAAGTTCCCTTAGGCCAAAAATATTCAAGGCGGCCTGCTTGTCAACTTCTTTACAATGTCACCATGACTTGAGTTTTGTCTCCTTGTCATTGATGATGATTCTATTAATGTGAGTACTGTAGCATTTTTCTTCTCTCTATTTTATTCTTCTTTGGAGACAAATTCTTGATGTTTCTCAATTTGATTGTGTTATATGGACAAAATCTAGCATGCAATGTGTTCCTAATCATGCTGCTAACAAATAATGTTTTGGTTGTAGAAATTTTTTTCATACCCTTAGACCATATTTGGACCTTAGATTTGTACTGAAAGAGAAATTGAGAGAATTGAGAGAGTAATATTGAAAGAGGTTTCTGTATTATTAACACTCTGTCTGAAACAAAATTAGAGACTCCATTATATAGGAGTTCTGATACAAGACATGATGATGGAATGTAATAAAATAATAAAAAGGACGCCGAAAGGAGGAGGCGCCGAAAGCAGCCGAAAGCCTCTGTCGATATTATATTTAATATATTCACACTATCATATATAGTATTAACAATGATATATATATATAGTATTATATAGTATTATATTAACAGTATAATATTAACATGTACAAAAATTGTTTTTCAACAATTTTGCTCTCAAATCAGTTTGTCACCAACTTAAATTCCAGAGTATTTAAAACAGAACCAAAAATTTATTCCATCTACTCTTTATATTTGAGTTGTCTGAAATGCCAGCTGTGTTAAATTCTCAGCAAAGACATTGCATCTGTTACCATTATGGGGTGGCGGTGATCGGTTGAGAGTGTTCAGAGCTGATCTGCACAAAGAAGGAAGCTTCAATGAGGCTGTACAAGGCTGCAGCGGCGTATTTCATGTTGCTGCTTCAATGGAGTTCGAGGTTCCAGCAAAAGAGGACATTGGTAATGCATATTTGCACTACTTTTGATATTCCAAGCTATTTAGAATGCTTCACATTTGGTTCTCTTTTCTGAACTTGAAGACAGTTATGTCCGCGCAAATGTCACTGAGCCTGCAATCAATGGTACCTTAAACCTTCTCAAATCGTGCTTGAAAACACCATCTGTGAGGAGGGTTGTCTTCACATCATCCATCAGTACCATGACTGCCAAAGACAGTGCCGGAAAATGGAGAAGTGTTGTCGATGAATCTTGTCAGAATCCCATTGATCGTGTCTGGAAAACAAAAACAGGTGCCTGGGTAATAATGCTAATGCTTTCTCTTCCCTCTTGCATTGGTACCCATAAAAAGTTGATCTGGTTTTTAGAGGCTATTTTGTTTTGCAGGTTTATGTACTGTCAAAGCTTCTGACTGAGGAACCAGCATTCCAATTTGCTAATGAGAACAGCATTGATCTTGTGTCAGTCATTACCACAACTGTTGCCGGTCCATTCCTCACTTCAACGGTTCCAACAAGCGTTCAAGTTCTCTTGTCGCCAATAACAGGTGACCATGTTGAGATCCCCTATAATGATTGAAGCAAAGTTCTGTAAATTTTTTATAAAGGGTTTTGGTTGTTGCATTAGCAGATGGACGTAATTGCATCTCATGTATTTCAATCATATTTTTGCTCATCAAGAAGCAAGCTGTCTCAACTCCATTTGAAAACAGTGTAAGAGCATCTCCAATGGTGTTGTTGCTATAATATCATTGTTATTGCTATAATTTGGCAATAAATAGTGCTATTTTGTCAAATTATAGCAATGGTGCTCCAATGGTCACTTGCTATTTTGGCAATTCTCAACCAACTTTCCCACCAAATTTGTAAGTGTTGTTTGGATATAGGTTTTTTGGTGATTTTATTTTTGTTTATTTTTTGTCTTTTATGACATTTTTTTAACTATTTGTAAAAAAAATTATATATTTATATTATTCTCGACTAGACAAATATAAAAAATGAAAAAAAATAGAAAAATTAGAAAAAAAAATAAATATAATTCAATTTGAAAAATTAAATTTAAAAAATTACTTGGTTTTTTACTATTTCAATTCTGTTTTTTCAACTGAATTTGGAGCCACAAATATGTTTATATTTGCTGATGTGGCATGTTTGACAATTGCTATTTTACTTGCCAAATTTGAGAACAGATATGGCATATGCCATCTTTGACAAGTAAAATAGCAAGTCATTAGAGACCTACTTTTTATCACCATTGCTAAATTATAACTTTGACAAGTGTTTTGAGAGCTCCATTGGAGATGCTTTAACTTGTAACATAAGAGTACGTTAAATTATTTTAGAAGAATACCTGGGAAAAGAAAGGTTCAAAATTCTGCCCACTACAACTTGTTTCAAGTTTCCCCAGACTTTCCCCTAATTTGTTCCAAAGAATGTGGGAATCCAAATTCCAGACTCATTCTTTACATAACAAATTTCTTCATTTCACCATTCATCCAAAGATAAAGTTAAAAATGATTTGCTCTTGAGGCGTTCAAAATTGTCAACACACCATCCATGAAACTAAGATTGCTTATAAAATCATGCTCTAACATGTTGATTTGGAAAAAGTTCAGGTGACTCTAAATTCTCTCGAATTTTATCTGCTGTGCATTCAAGAATGGGGTCAATCGCTTTAGTTCATATCGAAGATATATGCAGTGCCCACATATTCCTCATGGAACATGATAGAGCAGAAGGTCGATACATATGCTCTGCCCACAGTTCTGTAATATCTCAACTGGTTGATCGTCTTGTTAAAGAGCACCCTTTCTCAAATATGCAGAGGTAGTTATTTCTTTCAAATCTTGAAGGTAAAAGATAGCTTGTGACAACTTCAAATACTGGTTTTTCTGTGTTTCCAGGCTTGTAGAGGAAGAACATGGCTCAGTCCCCTCCGAGATTTCTTCAAAGAAGTTAAGAGAATTGGGTTTTAATTTTAAGTTCGGCTTGGAAGATATTATACACCATACTGTTAATTCTTGTGTAGATTGTGGCTTTTTGTGTCCTACTGTAAACTAGATTGTGTCAATATAGGCACAGAATGAAACAAATTTTCAATAATTGTAATAAAATAAATAAATAAAATCAAAAGGCCTGAATAGTTGCTGATATGTGGTACTAAGTTGTTTTCTTGATATCCAGTTCCTAGAGTTTATGGTTAATGTCAGTCCTCACAAATTCTGTTGTAATATACAACTTGATAAGTATTGAATGCTAGCCACTCGACCCCAAATTTGGAGTAAGGGTATTTTTGGTATTTCTGCACTTGTGACATGTTGGCCTAATTTCTATCTACATATAGTTGTGGGAGAGCAATTATATCTGATCTCTTATGTAACCTTTTTGATCATAATGGAACTAGAGTGACTGTAAATGTAGCCCTAGTTTTAAGGTGAATCACATAAGTCTTATATTTTTTGCATGTGCGTATGTAATTTATATTTCTTGTACGTTTGCTCTTCTCTGTTTTTGCATCCTAATTGGGTGTTATAGATTCTTAACAAAATCTGGATCAAATTGCCAACAGAATGGATGTGTAGTTCCCTGCACTGACTTGAAGGAATTAACTCTAGCCCCAATGCTAATTTAAGTCAGGAACTGACAAATCAAAAGTCATTAGCAAAATAATCAATTGGTAAATGGACTGTTATTCTTGTTTCAATACACTTTTTTCTTTTATTTTCTTTGACTCTGGAATTGTATCAAAATGCTCAACAGAGACGAGCAAAGATTCAGTAGTCTATGTTCGCTTGTTGACTAAAACATTTAAATGAGCACAATTAAGCTACCACTTCAATACTAAATTGGGGACACCCAGATCATAAGCATAAAATCTATCAAAAACAAAAAGAATATTGTTGGAAACACACTCATCGACAAGCCAATGATTTGGATATCAGGTACATAACATACCAACCCTGTTCTTAAATTATTGCCTAATATAGCTATATGAACTGATTAAGATGCCTAACTGCATATTTTCACTCCATTACGCAAATTTAGTTTTATCTTTGAAACAGAATGATAATATGATGGACTGAGACTCACTTGAGAAATCTGTTATGAGGTCATTCTTACGAGGGTTAAGTCTTCGTGGAGTTAGAGCTTTCTTTTATTCTCTTTGTAAACTACTTTGAAAACATCATTCATTGCTATCGTTGACAAATTAAACAGTCATTAATACACTTATCTCAAGGATGTTGAATTGGCTACAGATTCTGGAGGTCACCCCATGTGAAAGGGGTGATCCTCATGTCAACAATGGAAGGCCACCAACCTCATGTCAACAATGGAAGGCCACCAACCATGTCAAAAGTCAAAGAATGAGGGCTCTCCCACCTACTCCTTTGTGTATAAATAGAGACGGGAGGGAGAGGATATAGATATCAGATGTGGAGCTGAGAGGTGTGAGTTGAGAGCAAAGAGAGAGAGAATTACAGAGAGTGTTGTAATTCACCATTTTGTTCAATATAGTGAATCCGCTGCCCGTGGACGTAGGCGACTTGCCGAACCACGTTAAAACTTGTGTGTTATTGCTTGTTTGAGTTCCCTGGTGTGCCCCCGATCCTCAACAAAGGACATGTCTCAGCAAATACTAACACGGAAAAAAAAAAATTTGAAGGACCTGAAGTATCGTGGATGGCCCAATCGTTGACAGAATGGCTGCGTGATCTGCTGCATTTTGTGACTTGGAAGAAGTAAATTCCGGCACCAAACTAAATTCATAATTTCAAGTCCCTTGACATTAACAAGACAACAACCTTCAAGGACGTCAGTGTACATCCTTGTTAACTTATACAGTTGACATAACAGACCTCTTGGACTGTTGAATGGTCTCAAGGTGAACATTATCTAGAGACAACTTCTATGGTTTTTGTCAATGTGGTGTCTATATGATCCAAACAAACTCAATGAGAAGATTTCAAGAGAATTCTTAATGGTTTTTTGGTGGTTCAGAAAAGTAAACCAAATTTAAGCGCAGCAAGTGGGCACAGCTTCTACCAGATGAAGGGCCTAAATCAGTGGTGTATTTCATGTTGCTGCTTCAATGGAGTTTGAGGTTCCAGCAAAAGAGGACATTGGTAATACATATTTGCACTACTTTTGATATTCCAAGCTATTTAGAATGCTTCACATTTGGTTCTCTTTTCTGAACTTGAAGACAGTTATGTCCACACAAATGTCATTGAGCCTGCAATCAATGGTACCTTAAACCTTCTCAAATCGTGCTTGAAAACACCGCCTGTGAAGAGGGTTGTCTTCACATCATCCATCAGTACCATGACTGCCAAAGACAGCCCTGGAAAATGGAGAAGCGTTGTCGATGAATCTTGTCAGAATCCCATTGATCGTGTCTGGAAAACAAAAACAGGTGCGTGGGTAATAATGCTAACGCTTTATCTTCCCTCTTGCATTGATACCCATAAAAAATTGATCTGGTTTTTAGAGGCTATTTTGTTTTGCAGGTTTATGTACTGTCAAAGCTTCTGACTGAGGAAGCAGCATTCAAATTTGCTAATGAGAGCAGCATTGATCTTGTGTCAGTCATAACCACAACTGTTGCCGGTGCATTCCTCACTTCAACAGTTCCAACAAGCGTTCAAGTACCACCTCACTCTTTCTGTTTTGTCTTTTTTTTTTTTTTTGTCTTCTTCTTTTTTCATTTTTTTTTTAATGTATTATTTATAATAATTTAAATTGAAATACTCAAAATACACAAAATCACATAAATCATGCAAAATTATAAAATTTTATTTTAAATTCATAAAAATTATTTTTAAACTTTTTAAGCGTAAATTTTATAGCATTACTTTAAATTTTATAATTTTTAAATGTATTCAGATTTAATGAATCTGAAAAATAAAAAGTTTTGATTAAAATATTTAAAAAAATTTATTAAAAATAATAAAATTCAAATTGAAAATTTAAAAAACAGTTTTTGAAAATTTCAAAACTAAATATGTTTTGGATTTTAAATTTGTAAAAATTATTTTCAAAATATACAACTAAATAAAATGTCAAGTTTGATAAATTCTTTTCAAAAACATAATTATAAAATTTATTTAAAAATTCAAATCAAACTGATAATCTATTTATATTTTGACCTCAAATTTTGTTTTTTTTTTTATTTTTTTTTACAACAAATTAGCTAAATTACATTTTAATTCAATACTTTTATATTATATTTTAATCTCAAAATTACTTTCACTGTGCACGATAGCATGCACTAGAGTTTTCCGGGTCTTCTGGATACATAGCTCTTGAATAGGCAAGTTTGATTTATTTAGAGCATAAATTTGTTCAAATTATAAAATAATAGCTGAGATATATTTTTTGAAAAATATTCTATGCATATATTTTTTTACTTTCCCGCTTCTCTCTCTTTCTTTGTTCTTTTCTCACAAATCCTCCCATGATCTCACGAATGATCTCATGATTTCACATTCCTCTCTCTTTTCTTTTTATTTTTTTTACTTCTCTCCCTTTCCTATTTGTTTATTTATTTTTATTTTTATAATATTATAACTGTATTTTAATTTTAATATTATTTACACCAAGCCTTTATCTCTCAATTTGTTTTTTTTTATTTTTGGCTGTATATGATTTTTGTTGGACGAGGCTTTGTCAGTGTAAAAGAATATATTATTTATGGGGTAAAGAGTGCAATACAAACATGCAATAGAATACAAGACTTTCAAAAAAAAAAAAAAAAGTTACTTAGTAATTATCACCTTCAAATTAAAATAATATTTTCCAAAATATTTTTTTTATATATTTTTTTATTTCACTATTTTATTTTTTGTTGGTGAAATAAAATATAGCACTTTTCTTTTTTCTTTTTTTTTTTAGCAAACATTATAAATTTTGTATGTTTATTCTTAATTTATATCAAGTTATATAAATAAAATTATTAAAAGTTCTTTAAGAAAAATAATATTTTTTTAGTGTCTTTATTAAAAAAATACTACACACTTCACTTATTTTAATATGATACGTAGAAATTAAGATTATATTTTGATCTCAATATTATGGGGTGTTTTGAGAAGATGATTAAAAGTTACTTTTTTGACTTTTTTTTAAGAGATGGAAGTGGGTTAAAAGCTGAGAAATAGCTTTTAACCCACTTACCCACTTCTCAAAATAGCCCTATTTATACCGCACTGGTACCTTTCTTTTTGTGAGTTTTGTTTCGAAGAGAAAGTTTTGCAAAATCCCTTCCCATTCTAACCTCAAACTTGAACAACAATGGTGAAATTTGAGAGACGGACAAAGGCATGGGAGGGGAAATCTCTTCCCAAGAAAAAGAAATAAAAAGAAAAGGGTAAGAGAAGATTGATCAGATAGGGGAAAAAGTGAGAGGCCACCCCCACATGGATTTGGTTAATTTATTTTGGGAAAATGCTTCCGACCCCAGTGGGGTGCCGGGGGTCATGCGTGTAGGGCCTTGATTGGGCGAAAAAAAAAAAACTGTTTTTTTTTTTTCAGCCAATGAGGCCGCACCACCTCACTAGGGGTCTGTAGCATTGTTCTTTATTTTGGGTGATGTTATCTTTTTATTTTTTTTGTATGTTTTTCAATAAAATTAAAAGTTAATATTTTCTCAAAACCACTCAAAGTATATGGTAACATCACTCTAAAATTTTGTAACATAAATATTAAAATGATATAATATGTTTTCATTACAAATATATATTTTGTTGGGTGGTAACTCTCTCATAATAACAATAAATAACTCTATCATAATAACACTATTAGGTAATTAAGAATGGAATTTAATCAATTGAGTTTAAAAGGCACGAAATTTAATAATTTAATCAATTGAGTTTAATAACAATATTAAGTGATTCCGAATGGAACATAATTTAATTAATTTCAGTTTTTTAGATAAAATATATTTCTTTATAACCAAAATAATATTTCTTTATATTTTTTTAATATTTGTATCAAAAAATATTACAAACTCCATAAATTTTTAATATATAAATTATAATTATATTTTAATTCTAACAATATTTATACAGTGTCTTTAGGCACGGGCAAATACTAGTACATATATATGTTAAATATTAAAACAAAATGGATCAAAAAGGCTTATTTTGGGAAGATGGTAAAAAGTGGCTTTTTGACTTTTAACCAAGTTTTTGGCTTTTTTAGACAAATGATTTGGGAAGTTGGTAAAAAGTGACTTTTTGACTTTTTTGATTAATGTTTGTTTATGATGTCAAATCATAATAAAATGACCAAATTATATTTTAACTATTTGAATAATTTATTTGGTCGGAATTTATGTATAAATTATTTATGAAAAAAAATAATTGATTTAATTTTTTGTAAAGATAATATATTTAACGAATTCTAAAATATGAATAATTCAAATTATTAAAGAAAAATTCTAAAAATAAGCCAAACGAATACACTTCTCCAATTCAATTAAGGACAAGAGAGAAGCCCGTCCTTTTGTTAAAATGTCGAATAGAAAAGTGTATTTAAATATAGAAAATGTATGAGAGATACATTTGATATTGACGGCTGAGATGCATCTTAAGTTTATGTGGATGGTTCAGATTGGTTAAGATGAATGATGATTGCTGTCTAGAAACCCACTCTGTTCCCCCCCACCTGCCCTCTCTCTCTCACTCTCACTCTCACTCTGTTCTTCAACAGAAGCAAAGAAACCCACCCGACGCTCCTCCCCGTCTCAACCCCCCCACCTTCCCTCTCTATCTCTATCTCAATCTCTTTCTCTCTCTCTCGCTCTCGCTCTCGCTCTCTCTCTTTCACTCTCTGTTCTTCTTCTTGAACAGAAGTCCACCCTCTCTATCACAACCGACGCTCCTCCTCCTCCTTCGTCACGTCCCTCTTCATCAACCGTTCGATTTCAATTCTCTTCATCGACACCCACCCTCTTCGCTACCGACGCTCCTCCTCCTCCTTGGTCACGCTCATCTTCATCGCAAGGTGAGATTCCCTTACAACCCTTTTCGATTTCAATATTGTTTTTGGCTTTGATTTCAACATCCAGAAGAGTTGGGGCTTTGATTTTTTATTTTGATTTTTGTTTTTCTAAACCTTAAATTGATTTGTTAATTAGGTATTTTCTGGATATCATTTTTAGGTATTTGGATTGCTTTAAAACAATTCTCCGAAAAACACCATTTCGGTTACAGAGCTCTCTGTATATACCGCTTTGCATTGATCTGTGAGTGTTTTTGTGTTTTCTTTTTTGATAGTGACTTCAATTCCATTGTAGGTTTCGATTAGTTTGTAATTGTGTATATGTATAGTTGATGTGTTTCAAATTATGTTGATTTATTTGTACCCAATTGTGTTGGTTTGTGTTTCAAATTAGTTTGTAATTGTGTTGATTTGTTTATACCCAATTAGTTTGTAATTGTGTTTGTTTCGCATTGTTCTGTTGATTTGTTTTCTTTTTATTGGGTTGAGTTTTAAGACTTAATAGAAGTAGTTTTGTTGGTGGGTTGGTGTCATTGGATTTGTTTGATGGAAACTTAGGAGTGTTTCTACGTTTGGAGCTAATTTGGTGAGCTGGGTCTGAATTTGGAGGTGAATTCAGGATTGGGAAGAGGAATTATATACATTTCGGTGTGTTGTTTGTTGGTGGTCTTGAGGTTTATAATGGTTATAATAAATCTGTTTGTTTATCATCATTATCATCAAGGTTTGATTGTTTATCTGGGTTTATGAGGTAATTAAATTTGGGGTTTTCAATCTATGTAAACTATTGAGGCAATTGGATTTGTGTTTTTATCAATCAACCAACACTTTTATGAAATAAAAGTTCTTACCAGTATTTATCATGTGAACTTCAACAAAGTCTCTAGAGTTTCTTAGTTTGTTAATGCTTTGTTTGCCTGCCAAGAAAACTTAGGGAAAAAAACACAATAATAAAAGTAAATTTACTTCTTTTTTTTCCCCCTGGTTTTAGTACGCTAACAAATTATATGAATTTCCATATCCCCATCCTCCACTATGTCCTTTTGGATTCTTGACTTTTTGTTGGAAAATAGAAGAAAATGCGCAGAAAATGCTAAACAAATTAAGCCATTTTCAAGCATCTTCCCTCACTCATTGCACAAAGGCAGTGGCAGCCTGTTGAGGTGGGAGCAAGCATAGTGGTGTGGCTAGACTCCTTTAGTGCAGATCATGTTTTCTTTCTTTATATATATGATATGATTTTTTCCAAGTGGGAATATTATTAAACTAACAATAAGGCTTATATAATGGCATGCAGAGAATCATCGAATTTAACAAAAAAATATTTGTTTTTCTTATTTAATTTTATTTGTCGAAGAATGAGTGCCTTAGCATTAGCACATTTCTTAAATAGATTAAGAATCAAAGATTATATTAGTGGTTTATTTATTCACCACTTATAAGAGATTTAAAAAAATTAAAAGGCAATTTCAGATCTAATTCCATAACTCCCAAACAGGTTGTGGGTATCACCATGTGTACGTGGGTTGGATATTTGGTCAATGATATGGGTTACAGCATCCCCATTATTTTAGGTGCAAAGCATCACAATCTATATAATATGGCAAGAAGGTTTTTGAATCTTTCATATATTTTTGTCCTACGTGGCATTCATTAACGGCTGAGATGATTCTTGACTCGAGATCAGATGGTCAAAATGTGTTGTTAACCAAAATGTGTAGTTCTCAATGCTTTGGTTTCCCGCCCATGAAAAGAGTACCAAACACACCTCAGACTCTCATTTCCAGCCGTCCTCCATTCTTTCTCACATCTTTGATTTCAAAATTACAACTCCCTCTCCGTCTCAATATGTGATGGTTTTGATGGCTTCGATTCAAGCTTAGGGTTTCTTTTACTGTGTGTGTTTGGGAGAGCTACACAGAAATTTGGGAGAGCTACACAGAAATTTAACATATTATGGCTTCGATTCAAGCTTAGGGTTTCTTTTACTGTGTGTGTTTGGGAGAGCTACACAGAAATTTGGGAGAGCTACACAGAAATTTAACATATTATGGCTTCGATTCAAGCTTAGGGTTTCTTTTACTGTGTGTGTTTGGGAGAGCTACAAAGAAATTTTCTCGGGGCTGAGAAAGTCCCAGAAAATGGCGAGAAACAACGCACAGGGCGAGAAACAATGTTGTTTTACTTTTGATGTATTACATGTAACTTCAAGCCAAGGGCTTAATGTGTATCGAGTTAGTACTCTTTGTTGTAACCAAGTGTTAACTTGGAAAGCTGTAAGCCCGTAGGGCATTTTGTTATGATGTTAACATGTAATACTTATGTAATGAGACGCTAATGAATAATAGAAGGTGGTTTGTTTATACGTCAACGCATGTCTTGTTTGATGGGTTTAATGTTATTATTTTGAGGGCGTTACAACTTCTAGTCTAATTCTGTGATTATGGACATTCATGTTGAAAAGATTTGGTTTCCATTAATTTGTATTTCCTTTCTTCTTCACTTATGTTGGTTGCTAATTTTGATATCTTTGGGTTTTTATTAGTTGGTGCACTTTTTTTGGATTACATTAGCTGGTGTGCTTCACTTTTATTGAATTTTTATTTTTCTGTCATTGGTATTCCTATGGTAAGAGATAAATGATAAGGGAAAAACAGAGAATCGTGTGTGATTGTGTAGTGTGGGGGAGGGGGATACAGTGAGAATCAATTTGGTTTGCGGTTGACATTCAATTTCTATGGTCACTAGCATAAGGCACCAAGAAACCTCACCATTAATCTTTCTTTTCTTTTTTTTGGTCTCTGACTTTTTGTCAGTCAATACAGTTGCATTTTTTGTATTAGCCTAGCATTTGGGTTATTGGGTTGTACTTTTGAGAGCCATTTAACTGAAACATTTTCTTCTCACTTTTGAGAGTAAAGAATAAATGGTTATACTGACGGTTTGGTTTGGAAGCTCATTGTTTTGTGATTTTAGACAGGTTTTTTTAGGTTCAAAATAATTGCAGTTTGGTTGTCCAAGATAAAGTTTGGGTTGTCTTTGTAATCACAAAACTCAAAAGTGGCTACAAAAATAATTAGTGGTTAAGCGTGAGTGTGTAATTGCACCGAATTAAAATTTTAGACTGTGTTTGGTTGTAGCTATTTGGAAAGAAAAGGAAAAATGTAAGTAAAATTTAACTATCATGTGTAATATGTGTAATATTCATGAATCAAACACATTATTTTTTGAAAAAAATTTAAAAAGCCTACGTTTATATCATGTGTAATATGTGTAATATTCAAAAAATTCAAACACACTTGAATCAAATGTGTAATATGTGTCATTAGGCTACATTTATATCATGTATTTGCGTAAGAATTTAAAATGAAAAGGAGAAAATGTGTGTAAAAAGGAAAATGAATACTATATCTTATTTACATCTCACCCACTTATCTTGGTGCTAATGAAGTGTCAAAAAGTCTCCACATTTATGCTACTAATGTGTCTCTTTGGCATTCATGAATTCAGATTTGGCAAGAGCATTGGCTGCTCCGGATCAGACCATCCAAATGGAACACCAGGCCATAAGAATTATGGGTTGAGTGTTCTTCAGCAACATGTGGCCTTTTTTGACATGGACGACAATGGAATCATTTACCCTTGGGAGACATATACTGGTAATTTCCATGCATTTACTTTGTCATGCTATCATTTGCTTCCTACTGGACCATAACTTCACCTTCACGAAAATAAAGTAATGAGGAAAGAAAGACAGAAAATTTGATTTGATTGTTTTTGTGCGTTTTGTCAAGATGAAACTGTTGGTCAAGGGCTATGGCCTTCACTATTCAAGTTTCCCAAGTTTTGTCTTTGGCCATGCCAATATGGTGGCTGGCTGAATCACTCTGCTGCCCAGAGAAATGTCGGGTCAGGAGTTGTCTCACACTACGTTTGGATGGAGTGGTTTGGTGAGAAATGATGCAAAAGTGAACTCTTTTCTCATTTTCAATTTATCAATTGTTTATAAATTGAGTGAGAAATGGTGAGAAAGAGAATTTGTTTACTAAGGCTGTGTTTGGAGATTTGGAAATGAAAAAGGGAAAAGATTAGTGAAATGTGAGAAAAATATAATTACATTTCAGACATCTTTCCTCTCTCTTTCTAAATTCCTTCTCAAAATTCATGAACCAAAGCAAGTCTGTTTCATTTTTTACCAAAAGTGATGGGATTTAGTGAGAAACAAGTTGATCGTATTTTTACCTAGAGTGATGAGATTTAGTGAGAAACAAGTTGATTGGTTACAAGATTGCCCGAAGAAAGATAAAAATTCCACTCATATCCCCCTCTCTTGATAGTGAAAATATATTTTTTTTCTCATAAATGAGATATCACAATCATTTCTTTTCCTTTCTCACCCTCCAAACGGAATGTCAATTCTAAATGTCATTAGTTTTATACTTTGAAAGGAAAGTGTAAACATTCCCCTCTTCTTTTTGTTTCTATCGCAGGGCTACGTGCAAGTGGTTTCAGCATGATTGCATCTCTTATAATGGCTATTGGTATTAATGGAGCTTTGAGTTACCCTACTCTTCCCGTAAGTTCATACTCTTTTTCTAGGAAATAATAATTTATGTGTTTTGAAACAGTACTTATGTAAATATTTTCAAATGTGACCATGTGCCTCATCAAAAAATTAGCTAACTATTTTGGAAAAGAAAGAAGAAAAAACAAAGAAAAAATTGGAGTTTAAAGCTAAATAATCTACATTTGACCTTGATTTTCTTTATAGTCGTTACATTGAGTTACAAGCCATCTAACACATGGCCTGCTTCTAGGTTATATATTAAATAGAAAAAACAATCTGCTCTATTCTGTTCACCGGTAGCTAATATGGAGAAGGATTTTGATTCAAAGCTAAGGATTGAGAGCAATTCTTCCAATGGAGGAAACATACCCAAATCTAAGAGCTTTGAATTGGGCAGTATCTATGGCATTGGTTCTTATTCCAAGGTCTCATTTTTCTTCATCATATTTAATTTTTTTACTGTATTTATTTATTTATTATTATTATTGTGAATTAATTTGATATATGTTGATTTATTATGGTGTTTTGATGATTTATGTTCATTAGAGGTTAATTTGAATGTCATGTTTCATCTATCTTTTTAGGCTTAGTTTAGATTGTTTATGGGTCATTTAAATTGGGTTTGATACAGTTATTATTAGAATTCCATTTTCTCAAACCCACAATTTTTTGAATCAATCTAATACATTTTATTTGAATTCTATTCTCTACAATTAATTCCATTCTCATCTCATTCTCTCTTGCGCGGGTCTCTTACAGGTCATTTGTTTATTAAACCCATCCAAGCACCAAGAACTTTGTTCTCCACCCGACATATAACCGGATCTATATTTGAACTGGTAGTTTATTTGGGTTTGGGTTTGTGATTTTCGTTCGACATATAACTGGAGAATCAACGCAAGTGTATAGTGGGGTTTTAATTGTTGTGTGACTTGCATCTATTTCAAAGCATTTAATATTAGCCATACTTGATCTAATAAACGGAATGGAACCACAAGAAGGTATTGGGTCATATATGTAAATGACATTGTAATTCGAACCAATCTTTTTACAACAGACCTGTGTTATAAAAAAGTCTTCAGGAACACGTAGATTAATTATTTTCTAGATGAACATTATTAGCTAAAAATACAAAAAATCGGTTTTTAACCAACTTTTCAAAACAACTCATAATTATTAGGATTGGTTAGAATAAGTGTACATTAAGTTTAAAGTATTTTCGGGTGCAAAGCCAGTACCAGTGTTTGATTTTGGATTTTTGAATGGATTAATTATTTTTTTGCTGCTCAATTACTCTGCAGCAGAGCGCGTCCCAAACACGCTAATTTAGCTTCGTATCCAGGTAATCGTCTACTTACTTATAGGCTTTTCTTCTTCTTTTTCTTCTTCTTCTTCTTCTTCTTCTTCTTTTATTTTTATTTATTTATTTTTTTCTTATGTTAATTATAAGCATATGTTAAAGTTTGGTAGGCTTATATGCCACCAAACTGGGTTCCATTTTTTTAAAAAAAAACTTGGTGGGTTTGGATTCGGATTAGCATTCTTTATTTGTTTATTTATTTTTAAATTGAATGTCTAAATCTAGGAAATCACTATCCTCAATTGGGATAGTAATCCCATTATTTAATGTTAATGTTAATGTTATCATACACTTGAGCCACACCAAATCACAGAAATATCCACCAATCCCATTTTGATTTATGGGTGGAAAATTGGTGGGTTAGGCGTTTTCCACCCATAAATCACAATACCGGCCCGAAAGTAAACCCCCCCTCTCTCTCTCTAAAATGTGGATTAGATTATCATATTATATAACGCTCTTTGCAACCGATTAAGTTTTTTGGGTTTGTAACGGAGGATTCAGATCTTGCTGCTGAAAAGAAATCAGGCGATCCAACTGACAGAGGTATTAAAAAATAAAAATAGAACATTTCTGATTACTCTCAGACTGTTTCCAAAGGCCCAATTTACTCTTTGCTCATATCAAATTTTGTACCTTTTTTTATTTTATTAGTTATGTCATGAATTGTAAACTCTTCTTAATTCCTCAATTTCACGTATGCAATCTCATCCCTCAAAGAGAGAGAGAGAGAGTTTTTCAATGCTATCCATGAATTTTTAAATTAAGCTTTTGTGCCTAGGGTTTTAAAAGTTACAAAAACATGTTGTAGATTGAAATTGATGTGATAACTGACCAGTAGATATTGGAACTTGCAAGTATATATATTTGGTTTCTGTTTTTCAATTTCCTTTTGTCGCTGTTGTATTCGGTCGAACTCGCACTTGCACTCGCAAGGTAATTTCAGTATTCTCTCCTCTCCTCTTTCGAACTCGGCTGTTGTATGGCTGACGGCTATTTTTGTTTTTGGCTGGGTTTGTTTGTCGTGTATTACTTGGGACATAACAAGCATCTTTTATGGTTGTTTAAATTCGACTCAACCGAGAGATCATCAGTTACACTTTGGGGAGAATCGATGGTCGTCACAAATCTAAGAAGTGCGACTCTGCCATTTGGCATTGTATTACACTACTCTGCCTTTTCCCAATTTAACCTCTCAGGTTTGTTTTATTTAATCTACTATATTGTGCCTTCTTTTATTTATTTTGAATCCTTTAATGGCTTACTCTCAGTTTTACATGTTTTGTACATTTAATTAAGGTATGAATTGTTTTGTTATTGTAATGTAAATAGAAATGAGGGTTTCTTAAGTCAGAGATTGTCATTTCTTTTTGGTAATGAGGGTATATTGAGTGACCCCAAGGGGGTCAAATGCTTCATGTGTTATGTTTTGTTGATATCAAAATGTAATTATAGATAGAGAAAGATGAGAGAGAGTTTGTCAATGGATCACAATGTTTTATTGATTTTGCAATGAAATGATAGAAGAGATGAGTTTTTTAAAGGAGAGTTTTCTTTTTCAATGACTTACTGTTTGATTGATTTTGAAGGGTATACATTAGGAAATGACAGTTTCAAAATATGTGTTTTCTATTGTTGATATCAAAATAAATTATAGATAGAGAAAGAAGGTGAGAGAGAGTTTGTCAATGGATCACAATGTTTTATTGAGTTTGTCATTGTTAACTTAGTTTTAGTTGCCAAATCCTTGGACACATTATTTGGAGTTTGGATTTACAGAAAAACAAGAAGCATGAAGGGAGAAGTGGAGATGAAAATGGGAACATGGTGGATACATCTATTTTGGATTGGAAGAATTAGTTTCTGCTTGCTGAGATGGAAATTGTCATTACTCGGTTTCATTTTGCATGTTCTGATTTGAATTTCTTAAGCAAAATAAGTTTTGAATTTTGGATTTGGTTGTTTTGGCCATGAGCACCTTATTACAAACTGTCATAGGCTGCTTCTTTTTCTTCTTCTTCTTCTTTTTTTTTTTCTTTTTTCTTTTTTCTTTTTTTTTTTTAAAGTTTAGCTAAACTATTTTTATCTAACAGCATGCTCTATTGGTTTTGGTTAACACTCGCTTCTTCTCTCATTCTTTCACACATAAAGCCTATTGGGTTTTTGTCACTTTTTTTTGTTTTTTTTTTTTAAACCAGCATTCTGTTTTTGGTTTGGTTAGCCCTCTCTTTTTCTCATTATTTCACACATGAAGTCTATTGGGTTTTTGTTACTACATGCACAATTGGATGCTGATTTTTAATCAATACATATGCTGATTTTTAATGGGTAAATTGTATTAATATTTGATAGCCTGAAGAGTGGTGGTTTTTCTGGGACATATTATTGCTGGGACTAATAAGAAGTCTTGGGAGTAGTTGCATTTTACATAGGTTGGTCTGAGAATTTTGTTTTGTCAGAATTATATTTCTTGGGCTATGTTTTATTGGATTGAATTGTTCTTTTATGTAACAGTTACCATAAAGTTACACTCTATCTATAAGGCATTGGTTTAAGTTTGGATTAGAATATATTTGGGAATGGCTTTAGTCACAAGTAAATTATCTATTGGATGGCTCTGGAAGCTTTTTACTTTGGCCATTTTTTAGGAAACAATTTCAATTTCTTTGTTAATATTTTTCCATTTAAAGTATATATGGGAGTGCCTTTCTCCCTTTAATAATTAGTTTTCCTAAATTTCAGTTTGTTTCTTTCCGCCATTTTTATGTTATGTTGTCTTTTTGTTGTAGGTCATCAATTTATGGGTTTTCGATATAATCGAAGGTATAAACTCTAAGCGATTTTTTTGTTTTTTATTATATTTGTTTCATTACTCAAAATTGTAGAAAATTTATTGTTTTGGGGTCTATTACGTATTGGGTCTTTTGTTGGATCTTTTGGTATTTTGTGTTTTTTTTTTGCCCTCCACCCCTCCTCCTCTTCTCTCCTTAATCTTTCTTTCTTTTGAATTTATTTGGGTTTTTGGTTTATATCTATTTTATTTACAAAGAAACTATAAATTGCAAATGTTTTTTTCCCTTCCTCGTCTCTATCACATTTGTTTTAATCCCCATTGGAATAAAAGCTAACAAAGTCATAGTGTATTGCTCTTGTTGTCCCATTGTTCTTCCTACATGTGAATTCATTTTTTTCAAAATATGATTCAATTGGTAAGAGAAAATATGTGTTTAATTTTAATATTTTTATATTGCAGAGTATTGGTTGGTGTGCATTGTTTGGTGTTTAATTTTAATTTTTGTGGGATTGCAAAACACTTGCTGGTGTGCTTTATCTGGTGTTTAGTAATTTTTTTTTTTTTTGGGATTATAAAGCGTTAACATGTGTACAATAGCTTTGGTTTGTGTGCTTTGTTTAGCAGGCGATTTACACTTCAGTGTTGATGTGAAGCTTACACTTTGGTTTTTGTCTATAATAAAATTAAAATATATTCTTAAGTTTTATTGGGCGGGCTATCAATAAAGTTTTATATTCTTAAGTTTTATTGGGTGTGTTTATAATAAAGTTTTATTTTTTCACTTTCCTCTATCCTCACTTAATAAGTAGCATGTTATCAATCACCTACAAAGCATACAGACTAACTAATCCCTTTTTCTTTCCTTTTTTTTTAGTAGGCAGGTCAATTAATTGGTTCGAGGCAAAGGTGGTGTTGGGTATGAGGTGAGGAAAAGTCGTGAATTTCATGTAATGATTTTTTGAAATGGTTTAGATTTTAGAAACCTATCTTCATGTAATGATTTTTTAAAATGGGTTAGATTTAAATGTGTTTCTAAATGGTTTTGATTTAAAAAATATGAAAATGATAAATGAACCAACGCAATTATTATAATGGGTTTCTAAATGAGTTTCTAAAATCAATTTTCATGTACTGATTTTCAGAAACCTATCTTTATTTTGTTTAATTTAGTTCCCCTATGTAACTATTCTATTTATATCATTTGGAGTATTAATTATGTTTTTCTCATTCTCTTTCTAACTCTTCCGTTTCATTCAGTTTCATTCTTTCTTCCATTTTTCAATTGTGGTAAGTATCTTTTATAAGTATTTGGTTGTGATCTTTGTTTAAAAAAATAGTACAGTTAATTTTATTTAATGAACCTTAGGTTTAATTTTAGTTAGATTTGTCCATTAACATTGATTTCAAGTTTGATTTTTTTTTTTTGTTGCCTACTAATTGTTATACATAATGCTTCAACTAGAAAATGATATATGTATTATTACAGGGATAGAAATTCAAAGAGCATGATCATCCAAAAAAGGATCTTCACACAAGGTAAGCTTTAATTGTTTTAAAATTTAATTCTGTTTGATTTTACAACTTTCAAAAATTCTTCTTCCTTATAACAAGACTCTTAGTCTTAATAAAATTTGAGTTTAATTATTCGCTCCCCTTACAAAATTTGAGTTTAATTCTATTTGGCGGTTTGTATGATTTATTTGCTTTTTTATTCATTTGTTTACTTCAGTAATGGATACATATGTCTATTCTTACTTCATCATTGAATGACATAATTCAGTTGACCATAATAGGTATGTTTATTTCTTCTTAATTCATAGTTATTGATTTTTGTATTTTTCATATGTATTTTGATGCGATTTTTCATGTTACAGTTTCTTTTGATGCAATTATTCTTCATTACAATTTCTTCCGATTTCTCATATGTATTTTGATGTAATTTTTCATAGCTATTGGTTTTTTAAAGCGGATTTAAACGAGTGATTTTATTACAGGTGACTAATCCATATTAGAAACGTTGGGTTACATTGCTTCTACATGTGTGTCGTTGGTTGGCTCTCTCATTCTAAACAAAATGATTAATTTTTCTTTTTGGGTTAGCTAGGATGATTGTTTTGTACCAAAATGTTCATTGACCTTTATTTGAAGGCATTGAAATTTGATAAAGCAAAAACGATACTAATTCAATAATATTTTTTTATTGAAGGTTATCCCATTCTAACTTGCTATAGTGCATATATGTGTTATTTTGACATGGATAAAAATCTAAAATTTGCTATTTGGACTTTAAGTTTAGCAAATATTTCTAGATTCTTTGTTTATGTTACATTGAAATATATAATTCATTTTTTGGACTTTAATTTTAAAATTTGTTATTTGAAATTTATAAATGTTTTCGCTAATTCAATGTGTAGAAACAATTTCAGTTTCTTATAGGTGAAGTTTTAAATCTGAGTAATATTATTATTTTGAATTGATTTATTACCACTAAGTTTCGTAGCACGTGATATCAAAAAAATTGTTGTCTGTGCCTTCAGGCACGGGTTATCTCTAGTGATGTTATAAAGCAAAAAAAATTGAGAAAATTGCACTACAGTGAGGCCAATGTTTGTCTCAAGTTGAGGGGCCAATCACATAACATGGTTTAACTATTTGAGTAATTTATTTTGTCGGAATTTATGTATAAATTATTTTTGAAAAAAATTAATTAATTTTTGTTATCTAATTGATTTGATTTTTTGTAAATATGGTATATTCAACGAATCCTAAAATTTGAACAGTTTAAATTATTAAAAAATTTAAAAGTAAGCCAAATGAATTGAACAACACTTCTTCAGTCTGATTAAGGATAGGAGAGAAGCCCCATCCTGTTGCTAAAATGTCTAACAGAAAAGTGTATTTGAGTTAAGAAAATTTGCTAGAAATTCATACTTTCAAACTTAATAGTGATGTTATAAAGCGAAAAAAAAAGAAGAGAAAATTGCACTACAGTGAGGCCAATGTTTGTCTCCAGTTGAGGGGCCAATCACGGAGCATGTTTTAACTATTTGAGTCATTTATTTTGTTGGAATTTATGTATGAATTATTTATGAAAAAATATTAAATTGATTGGATAATTATAGTTATATTTTATTTAAAAAAAATAGTTTATTACATTTTCTACACTTAAATTATCGTTAAATTATCTATTTAGTCTCTAAATTATCCATTGAATATATTTAGTTCCTAAAGCATATAAATCAAAATTTATTTAGTCTTTGAACTATCAATTGTATCTACTAGGTCTCTAAAATATATAAATCAAAATCTATTTAATCTCTAAAAGAATTACAAAAACAAAATATATGCTCATACGTATTATAAAATAATAAAAGATCCTCCCCAATTAAGATTTTATTAAAGAAAAAAATTTTTATTTTTATTTTTTCTTTAACAGGTATTTTATTTCGTTGCGTGTTTAAATTAATATTAGAGTCTAATTTTTCAGTCTTGTCAATAAATTATGAATATTAGATATATAGAAGAAGTAGAATTAGATAATTTAGAGGGAAAATCGGTCTAGGGTCCCTCTCCTACTTTTCGTAATGGAAGAGATCCACAAAATTATTTTTTAATGTCTAAGGTCCCTAAACATATATCAGATGAAAGTTTCACTGGCTCCTCTCTTTCCACTCACTGAAAGACCTCTCGATCGTCTTCAACACTGGACAATTCGATTCATACAAACTCAATTTGACCGATTCAACGATCGGAAACTCCGAAACCGAACTTCAATTAGAAACCCTAGGTTTGTCCGGGATTCAACACTGCGATTACGGCCTCAGTTGGCTCTGGAGGAGTTGTAAACAGCTCAAGAAACTCCAATTGCGAAGCTGCTATGCAATCGGCGATGAATCATCACTCTCATCGTTCGTCGAATGCTTAATTGGTCTCCAAGAAGTGGAATTGTGGACATGTAGGGCGATAATCAACGAGGTTCCTCTTCCTCCTCCTCTTTCATACACTTTCTCATTCTAGGGTTTCAAGTTCTTGAACCCCTTCAATTTCATTTTAATTCATCATCCCCTGTTTTCCCTACTATTCCGTCAAGCTTTTACAGTCTATTTCATACACTTTCCCTATTCTCTGTCCCTGATGCTTTAGATTTGCACTTTACGATGAACAAGTGTGATGATCAATCTAGGAAGCAAGATGCAAAAGAACAAGAAATGGAAGAATTTCCAGTGGACCCGCAGAACCTAGAAGCAATTGTGAATTGGCCCTACACCAACTAGACAGAAGTTCGCAGTTTCAATGGGTTTGGCAGGATACTACCAGGAGGTTTGAAAGGACTTTTCGAAAATTAGCCGTGCTCTTACCCAATTGAACCGTAAAGGACAACCATTCTGACTTTTTACAAAAAACTGCACAATAGTGAAAGAGAATCAGCCTTTCATAATTGAAGACAAGATTGACCACACTGCACCAATTTGAACACTACCTTCAGGGTACGGAAAATTTTGATTTTAGTGACGCATCTTATAAGGGTTTGGTGGTGTTAATGGCAGAAACGGAAAGGTTATGCTTTACGCTCCGACAGTTGATGCCATGAGAAAGAATTATCCAACACATGACCTAGAAGTTGGCCGCGGTGTTTTTGCCTTTGAAATCTGCGGATGACTTGTAGGGCAACAGGTGTGAAAGTAACACGGATCATAAGACCTGAAATACTTCTTCACGCCAGAAAGCAGTTGAATATGCGTCAGAGAAGATGGTAGAGCTAATAAAGCTATGATCTGGAGATTCAGCTATATCCCGGGAAGCTAATACAGTGGCGGGATGCCTTGAAGAATCACTGGGAGATATGGCTGTTTCTTACTGAACGAGAAGGGAGATTTGCAAAGATTTGAAAAGTCTGATTGAAGGGAGGTATGTGAAACAGGGCGGATTGATAGCCGCTATTACAGCCGAACCGGCTTGTTGATGAAGATCAAGCAGACGAAAGAAATGAGTTCCTCAGAAAGGTGATAGCTGAATTTGAAGTAAGCCCAAAGGCCAGAGTTTCAGTGTCGAGATGGAATTTGAAATTTTGGAACCGAATTGTGTCCCCAGATATCCGCCGGCTAAGGAGAAGGGTTAAAAAAAAAAAAAAAAAAATAGATGAAGCCCACGAGATCTGTATTTGCTATCATCTCGGGTATAATAAAATGTACGGGATTTGAAACAACTACTGGTGGCCTAAAATGAAGAAGAGATGCAAATAGTGGGTTCATAGGCCTCCATGTGTCAGCAAGTTAAGGCTGAACATCAGAAACCGGCGTCTACTTCAGAACTCAGGTCCTATTCCTGGAAATGGAAGTGGGAACATGTGATATGGATTTTGTTGTATGGCCTAACTCGACTTCCCGAGGTATGGACTTCTGTTTGGGTGTGGTCAATGATAAGCACGACGAACTGACCGAAATCCTGCAGCCATACTCACAACTAGACATGTAGGAAGAAAGGCAACAGCTACGTGATCAACTGCTTAATAAGATTCGCCAACTTATTTATGTGATGGAAAAAAATGTCACGGTATTACAACCAATTCAGGAGTCACTGGTATGGTCACATCCACTTGAGTTGGCATGCCACCTAGATGTATACTCGCAATTGTAATCTAACTATTGTGGAAGAGTTTGCAGGAAGCTAATGGGGATATAATGAATCATAAGGGACGATACTTGTGCCTGCGAGTTTTCCTCACCGCGGCAACACACAGGCCAGTAGCACGTATCTATACCAAGCCGATGCAATACTGGCGCGCAACACTGTATAGCAGAGAATTCATTGCCCTTCGCCATGTGTGCATTATCTTTGTCTCAAGGAGTGCGAGAGGAAAGTACATATATGCTATATAGCCGCCTATGCCAGAACTATATACCACTATGTAAGCAGCTTCCCAATCTCCTATCACCCAGCATCGTATGAATTCAAGGAACAAGCAAACCCGCATTGAGCCAAAAGAGCATGTCTATATGCATGAGCCTTAGGCTGGGAGCGTGTAAGATCACCTCAAGTCTAGATTGGCAAGAGAGTCGAGGTCACAAAATCTTGTAACCTTGAGGTGGCCCCCTGAAGTCCAAAGCAACACACCCACCCTCTGATAAGAAATCAAAAAAAGCTATTCCGCCAAAAAGGCCCAAAACAAGCTGCAAGAAACTGGCAACCAAAAAAGCATACGAGCATGAGGCAAGTTTCGCTAACAGAACAAAATCTTGAGTTATTGGCAGATGGCCTGGTGCGCTAAAGATGCATTTGCAGTTTGTCGCAAGCTCGTAATATAGTCTCAATGGAAGCCACCAAAGCGTACATGGCCAATTAATGCCGGTATACAGAGGCGAAGTTTTCGCCGCAGGCTAAACACAGCATATGCACCAATTACGCGGAGTGCCCCCGTCCGAATTTTTGGTAAAATAGGCACTGTTGGCCTCACCAGTTCCTAAGGGGCTTTGCCCCCCGGGAATTTAGCCCAAATCCCATGTGTTTCAATTGTTCAAATGTTGAGGGGTTCTCCGAAAGGACACCCGAGTTTGCACAAGCTGATTTAGAAGTGAAACATTCCAGACGAGAGCAGGGTCGCCTAAGCAGCAGCATCGCTAGAAAATAATGAGGAGAGATTTATCGCTGATAAGTACAATCCGTAGCAAGAGTTGTTCGATACCGAGCACGTGAGGAACAAATTGAGAAACAAATCCAATTCTCATGGTGAAAGTGGAAATGGAAAGGAACACCTAAAAACAGGACAAGATATGCAATTGCACACTAAAACATTGGGTGAGAACCAAAGCACGGAAAAAGTGCCGTCACAATAAGCTAATCACAACAACTGTAAGCAAGCATTCGCACACAGGAGAGAACTGAGGCGTCATATAATTAAGTTTGAGGGTAAGGACCTAAACTAATCCTACAAACAGAGTGTAGGGGAAGACTGTTAAAATACCCTGTTCCGTAATTGCAACTTGAGATCCTTAAACTGAAGTAATAGATTTAATGTGATTACACATGATTTTTATGGAGTCCATTATGTATTGTGAAACTATAATAGTCAGACTTATCTAATGAAACGATATTTACTAGTCTATCACCGGCATAGTAATATCTGTTGAAATAATCAGCTTTGGGAAACATTTAATCGAGGGCCTTAAATATCGATGACACATCAAAGAAACCACAGAAGTTTTTATTAAAGCGCACATTGTG